CCCTACGAGCACATTTGTTCCCAGTTTTGCTCTCGACTTTTACTTATACACAGCTGACAGATAGGATGGATGCTGTTCTCCTCCGCATCAGAACATCCCTTCTACAATTCCTTCACCACAAGAGACCTGCTCACTCGCACAAGTCTCCGCGCACTGCTCCACACCAACATGAAACGCAGGGCAGCCCAGCAGAGCAGGTAGCGCTAGCCAAGCAGAGTTACATATATGTTATTTATTTTCATCCCAGAGCTCCTTATTGTGACTCTGCACAGTGCTAACCTACTTACAAGATCCAATACACTTTGTTTTCTTAAGAACAAAATCAGTATCTTACATTGTTCTACAGCAATTACAGAAAGAAATTTAAAGAGGTTGAAAAAACAGAGAGTGGGCAGCAGATTTTATCTTAATCAATAAATGTACAAGTAAGTGATTAGATCTCAAATGCAACGTAGCTTCCTGCTATATCATCAGAGTAAAGCTCTTCTGTCTTAGTCCAAACTGTTCTTTCTATTTGTCCCTGCAATGATGATATAATCCTGGTAGAGCTTTACGGAGCAGTGCAGGGGATTTACTTTTAAATCTTTGATTCATTTCAGTAGATGATGCGTGGCTTTGAAATCCCTGTGGCTAGTATCAGTGTGTTGCCATGCAGATTACTGTGATGCCATGAATTCAACATTATGAGATTCCTGTGCTGAAGCTATGACTAACGGGGAAATTTAGCTTATTGGGCAGCATGACATACACATTTGCTACCCAAAGCAAAAATACATGGTCATTACTGTGTTGTGTTGGAGGGGATATGGTTATTTCTTCAATCCAGCATGCTTTTGCGTAGCAAAAACCTGTCACAAGCTGGAGCTTTGGCTGTGACATGCTGCCTGAGCCACCGCATCCATCAGTCAGTAGCTGAGCATCATGCGAAACCCTGCGCAGTTTGTGACATACCACAAAATGCCACAGCCTGTGACCTCACTTGTCTGAGTCACTTCCAGTCACTCGTGTTCTCTTGCCCACAGTGTCTGGAAAAGTTATTTATAAGGGGTTTGATTTAAACTGCTTACTCTGAAATTGGAAGTGTCCCTAGGTATGGTAAAAGAAAATAATGAAAAAAGACACACAACCATGAGCTTAAAGTACCCTTTAAAGTTCACCCCTTTCAGAAGTGTAATGTAACACATGTTTTGACATGTTTTCAGAAAGCATTTCAGGAAATTGTGTTATGAAATGTCATGATTTAATTCTCCTAGCTAATGCAAAGCAATGTATCGCCTACACTAAAAAAACCCTTCTCTCATCCTGTCTTTAGCGTGCATGAGCATAGTACCCTGTCCTAGATTAGCAGGTAATTCAAGTCGTCTTCATTTAATTGTGTCTGCTGGTTTCCAAAGCATACAAACCTCTTGCTTCAATCTCTCGAATGCATGAATCCACAACCATCGGCCTCTGGGTATTGTGGGCTTTCACTAGTGTGGTGAGATCACAGCAGTAGACTCGCTTTATCCTCTTGAGGTCTGGTTGGCAGTCGTTGGGCACGTATTTGGAGCACTGCTTATGTACGTTCAACCCACAGTCTGTAAACAAAATTAGCCAGGTTATTTAATTAATACTAATACTGACAGGTCTTGTCTAACAATGTATTTCCTTAGGCCACAACAGGCAAGGGGCATAACCTCCCCATCAGTCAGCAAAGCTAGAATAAGTAAGATGGAGATGAGAAAGATGAGCATGGAAATCTCCTGTAAAAAACCTTAGGGTGGGCAAAGTGAACTCCAGCATAGTTGTTAAAAAGCTGTATAAGCTCTGAATGTCCTTCACACACCTCTGAGCTGGAGGTGACTGCTGGTGTGGTCTGGGTCAGTTCACTGCCAGACACGTAGCTCTAGGTGTTGCGTTTGAAAGGGCATGGGACTTAACTCCTGAGAATTTTAGCCTGTTGTGAGATTAGCACAGTAATGACTGTCTTCTGCTGACCAGCTTGTGGCTTAGCGCTGCTAATGGGCGAAGGACCTAAGATTCACCTGAGCACTCAGATTGGGACAGTGCTTTGAGCTAGCATGCCTCCCTTCCCCTTCCGCATTCCCGCAGTGCCGCTTTTTGGCGCGCCCTGCCACATCAGCAGCCTCCCCATCCCTGTCTCATCACTTCGCTGGTGACTGAAGTGTCCCCTGTGTTTAGTCTGTAGGTCAGATTAGGCACATAAAATGCTGTGAATGGCATGATGTAAAAAGGTGATTCATTTTACAGATGGTTCTTGATGCCTTACTCCAGAGTCAAATCCTACTCTTGGTTGCATGGGTGGGTTTCTATTAACTTAAACATCACTGCTTGATCTCCACAAATTGAATTTTTCTAACAGATTCAAATATTCAGCCAAATGAATTTATAAGCCTCAGTAAAGCAAACACCACCATTGTGAGTTACATTATCTCACATAACTCTGATTCCTGTTTTAATGCCTTCCCAGTCATGCCCATCACTGACAGTACCTTTTGGGCTAACTTAGCATGTCTAGTATCATCACTAATAAGTTACTGTTCCTTCATGTTGATTTACTGCCTGAGCTATTCAAAATGTAAACATGTCTCTATTACTTGCAGCACAGTTCAGTATTATTCTCTATAAAATATAAATCCAGCAAAATCATATCATCCCTACAAACACACCTACATGTTTAATGGAATTGGTGGGTTTTGTGTGCTTCTCCATACAGTTATTACTGCATAATACATTATTGTTCTGCGAAATCTAAACAAATGTGAGCAGCTGCAGTTAGGATCCTCCCTGTATTGTTTTCAGTGCTGTTCTGCACGCATGTGAAGTTAAATCCAAATGCATCTGTCTGCTTAGAGTTAAATGTTGGTAATTTAATGAGGGAGACTATTATGTTTCATACTAAACAAATAAGCCTTTTCGTAAGTTTAATATTTTATGTATGTGAAAAAATACAGCTCTATGCATTAGTGAGGTCAGGTTTTGCACACTTGTGTTTAAGATCAAACAGCCTGAAAAGCAAACTACTATTAATTTTCCTTTTTTTTGATGTCCTTCTCATATTCTTTGTGTTATCATTATTCATCTACAGGCAGACAAGATGTAGCAGTAACTGAGACTGCACTTACTAAAACTTTGCATTTGTGAAAGGTATTTTGACCCTTCAAACTGCTGTCTAAATTTTAGGCAACAACCATCTCCTCTACCTATGCAAGGCAGGTGTTGGGGCCAGTCTGAGACCAGGAATGACCGGAGGTCAGGGCAGGGAGAGATAAGACAGAAGCATATTCTTCTGGAGGGATTGAAGGTCTGTATAAAGAAGGTAGGAAACCCCACCAAATACCATTTCACTTCCTGAATCCAAAAGCTCACGATGTGGTGATTATTGCATTTTTGCAAGATGGATTATTTTTCACAAAAGAACAAACAAATTTAAATTAATTAAAATGCTATTAAAGTGCGGATACAATTATAGAGGCACCAGAAAACTAATTGTTCTGGGAAAATGAAGGTTGTATTTTTTGCTTTTCCTTGAGGTGGGCTACTTAAGGCTTGCAGCAACGCACCATATTTTTATAGGAAACAGGTGACTGTTTTTGCAGGCAAGGGCACCTCTCAGCCATTGGTGGCAAAAAGATGAGTTATGAAGTTAGCTGCTGGCTGGCTCAGCCATTTCCAAAGCTTGTTTCTTAAGACATAAAAACATTCAGGGATAATGTAATGACACCATAAAGAAGAATTCTTAATATATACACTGAGGCACATGCATGACCAAGGTACTACTGAAAGGATGTCACCCTCAGCAACCAAGGGCTGGTGGCTTCATTTATAAACTGGCAAATGGGGAAAATGACAGTACTCTTAACTTGCATGGAAGGATTTCTTGCCTTGTTCCGTAAAATAATCCCTACCCCCCCTCCTGCAGGGAGTGCAGGCTGGGGGTGGGAGGGACGCCTGAGCATTTCAAGAGAAAGACAGAAAATGTTGAAGGGCTACCTGAACACCTCACTCCCTGAGCGATGAGGCCCCACATGAAGTTGGCGCAGTATTCACACCAGTGCGGACCTCGAAACGTATGGACCTGTAATACAAATGGGGGGGGGGGGAAAGAAATAGGGTCACTGGGAGGCAGATGGTCTGACAGATGGAACAACTGAAATGGATAAACAACAGAAGACTCAGTAGGAGTAAATCTTTAGCACACAGTGCCCACATCTTTCCAAAGTCTAGATGAAATAAACCATGGGAACAGAAATTTGCTTTGATCTTGAAGTTTATCTTTCAGTAGGCTTAACATAACAGAGAACTGGGCTGTACATGGCCCTGAAAACAAAGCTGTTTTGCTAGCTGACATTTTAGCTATACGGACGGGAGGAAACCAGGTTCACTAGTCAAAGGAGAAAAGAGGAAAACTGATAATCCAAGTAGTCAGTGCTTTTATTTGACTAGTTCAAACAAAACAGGAATGATTCAAATGCTCCTCAACAGATCACTTGAAAGTAGAGGAAATGCAATGACAGAAAGCCCCTTCGAATGCACCACGTTTTGGTTCCCCGTAAACCTGTGTGACTGCAGATCTGGTGCAAGACCCATGTTATAAGAGCACCAGGCAGGTTTGAGCATGCTACGACGATGGTGTTACATTTGTATTTATATGCCCTTCAACACTAAACAAAACTCGAGGCAATTGCTGTAAATTTGTATCAGGGATGATAATGAATGCTTTGTGCAGCCACTCCAGGCAGCGGTTGGGTAATGATCTGATTTTGCACACTAGAATCCATTAGGGATAAAAGCAAACGACACCCTTCCCCACTGTAGTAAGTAAACTGAACTCACATAGGGAAAAGATGTCAATAGGCTCTTTTTCAGCACAGCAAACTTCATTTTGCTACAGTCCGCACATGAATAAATAAGGAGGAATAAAATGACCTGCGTGCTGACAGAGCCCACGGCTCCCCAGCCAGGTTTTGCACAGCACTGCTGCTTCCTCCGCTGCTTTTCCAAAGGCTATGGTGTAAGACCTTTTTATTTAACATGTATGTTCGGGCAAAGTAAGCATTTCATTTTCATTGAAAAGAAGAGTAAATAGTGAGGTCTACACCCGTGTAAATGGACATGGTCTGAGCTAGTCCTGGCCAGAGACTTAATTGAGCTTAACAAAACATAAATCATGCACACTCTGGCTGTAATGCTTCCTTTTCCTTCTCCCTGCTCTTGTTTTACCCATCGGGTGGATGGCTGAAAGGCCACTTCCAACCCTGGGATGGGGAAAGCCGCTCTTTACTTTTCATAAGTAAAATAATGGTCATTGCCCTTTTCAAATAAACTTGGTGAAGTTTCAAGCCAAGCATTTGGCTTGCTAATGTTTTCGCCCCATTTGTCTGCAGGACCACACCTAAACAACCTTATACTCGAGCCCATTCCCCAGGAAGATGAAGTATTATGATTTTAAATACAGACCTCTCTTTCTGATTTAGTGATAAAAATGTGAGCCTGACCACAAATGACTCCTGACCAACCACTCACAGTCAATAATTGCGTGAATAAGCTCAAAGCAATAGTAATTCTTCCTCCCTTTTGACAGTAAAAGGTCAAAACTGGAATGTCTGACTGGTCATATTTATTTTTCAAAATTGTATTTTACCTCTCAGAACAATGTGTACCTCTGGGAAACAAAACTTTGCAATGAAGTTTGAGATAGATAGATTGATAGATATAGACGCATACTTCTTTCTCATTTCATCTTATTTTATTTTGCAGGGTGGGTAGCATGAATTTCAGACATGGCTTTTAGTGGGCCGAACCTAACATCAGCTGGTGACCCGAGTTTCAGGTGTATGCTCTATGTGACCTTCAATGGATACAAAACTATGGATGCAACTAATTATGCCTGCATCTTTACCATTTTTAGACTGATAACCACATAATCAGTAGGTCTGCACCTGTGTTTAATTGTGGGTGAAAATCATCTGCTATGGGAAGATAGCTAACTATGTCTCCTGCTTTGCAGCAGTTTACAAAAGCTAACCTTGTGAGAAGTGGCTGTAAAAGCTCATTCAGGATTTTTAAACCCTCACCATTTCACATTTAAAGTCCATCACAGTTGCTAGGATATTTGAGGCCTACTTGCTCACTTTGCATAAAGCTTGTTTCAGCTGATCTCGCTGTGGCATATTTAGAAAATGGTAGCTGATTATTCCTCGCTCCTTCCTGTCATTAATGAGAAAGTCATCAACGTCGACTGAGGGCTCCATCTGAGAAGCGCTGACTGTGCACCCTTCCCTTGTTCTCTTCAGCTTGGTGGCCCTCAAAGGTTTAGCTCTCTTTATTCATTCACTTCAATTTTTCACGGATCTGCATTTTAGCTCAAATGCCAAGTTCCCAGCTGAAATGCCCTGTGAAAAGCTAGTCTTGGTGATTTCTGGTCACGTTGAAACAGGGCAATATTCGCTATCTCTAACTGAAAAAGGGAGATCTTCAAAAGTTTCTAGACGAAGGTGCAAAAAATCTCTTAAGATGCAGTTTTGGACAAAGTCTCTTATGGCTTGCCATTAAATTTAAAGAAATAATGAAGGAAGTCTATTCTTATGAACACAACACTTGAATGCAGCCTGAAGCTTGCACACACCACTTTTGAACGGTAAATGGGAATTTTGCTTGCAAGACGGGCCTCATCTCTATTTTAAGCAAGCAGAGGTAACAGCAGGTCTCAAGTTTTTGAGGTTTTGCCCCATCCTTTGTAACCACAACATTACAAATGGATGGGGCTTAGATTTTTTGGAAAAATGACTAAGATCTATTTATTACTGGTCCCTACCCCATCCTGCAGTCTCAGGAGACCTCTCTGTGTACACACAGCATAGGCTTGGGCTGCTTGGGCTACAGTTGTCACATAATTCCAACTTCTAAAAAGAATTTACAGGGAAGTATTTCTTCATATAAGCCAAAACCATGATGTTTCAGACTATACAGTGTACTTTTCTTGTTCAGTCTTTCATCTTCTTCCCACAATGTCTAACTCCTACCTTCTTCACTCTGTTTCCTTTCCAGTTCTTTCAATAAAAAGTTGTTTCTTATATTCATCATCTCTTCTCTGCTGGACAAGCTCACCCAATACTACACTGTGTGTCTCTTCTTACTGCCTTCCCGTGCTCTCACCTTCGCCCTCTGGCCCTCTGGTGCCCTTGCTTCCAAACAGCAGAATTCCCCCCGCGGGTGCTATCTCATTCAGTTTTAGTCTGCCTCTGAGCTGTCTTTGCAGAGGGAGAAACTGAGACCAAAGTTAAGGAGTGCCAATACAGTGGCAAAACAAAATAATCCCTTAAGCAATATTGCAGAAACAAACTAAAAAAATTGCCTTGAATTGAAATGCACATTTTTTATTGGCATTATATAGTGCTGTATCTGAGACAATTTTGTTGTTTATGTGACTGGGTTTCAAGACTTTTCTATTTGCCTCCAAAGAAAATAAGTTTTTTCAGACTTGCGCCTGAATACATGCACATTTGTACTCTTCTGTGGAAAGCTGACTCTGCTGTTATTTTTGCTGAAATACATACACGAAATCTTCATGATGTTTGTAAAAATGCCTTCCCCAATCCCTTTGTCTCCCAGAAGCAGTGTTTATCTGCAGGGATTAACACAAGCGGAAATTTATCCCAGAGCGTCCTTTCTCCCAGCAGATCTTCTGACTTGTCCATAATCAGCTGCCTTTACTCCACCAGCCCACCTGCAATTGGAATTTGCCCATGCTGTAGTGGCAAACAGGCACAATATTGTGGCAAACACACATTATTCAGCTGTATTTGCTCACTTAAAGCAGCACAGAGGCCCTCTCATTAATTCCCAGCCTAGAACAAAATGTGTGGAGCACCCCCAAACTCCACGCTGCTGCCCTCGGGATGAGGTTGACCTCACCACCAGCTGGGACCCCACTGAGGTTGGCAGGTAAAGCACATCCCAAAGAGCCTGCTGGATGCTAACTGTAATGAGATGCAAGAGGACTTTGTGATCCAGTTAGGCTGACGCCCACATAGTTACAGAAATACCTCTGTGTTTTTCTGAACAGGCCTTCAGAGATTTATTCTCTTTCATGAATTACGGTATGTCTACACTGGCTTATGCGAAGTTGTCCCGCCAGACAGACGCCAGCTCCAAACGTAAATCCATGTGACTGCGTTGTGTGCTCAGGATGAATCCAGCTTAACAAATCAGTCTGGATACTAAATCCTTTTTTGTTCATTTGCCTTGAGTGCCTTGAAATTTGGAAGAGCAGCTGAATGAGAAAGCATGGATGCTCAGAAGGGCATAACCTGGTCCCCTCATGCTCCAAACTCCAACACTCCTTTTTAATTTTTGTATTAGCTTGGCAAGGATGGAGGGAGAGCCATCCTTGCTCTGAATTTGTGCCTTGAGTCTACTTCCTTTTGTTCCTTCTCTCTTCCAGTAGGTAAGACCTTCAGTGTAAGATCTACAAAAACCTCATCAGCTTCGCTAAAAACGTGCCCTTCATTTTTAAGATTCTTCATGCCTAAAGGACAAGAGCTAAAGAGTGTCTGTTCATAAAGAATTGCCTATGACAAGATTATGAGGGACACTGTGACATGTAACCTTTGTCCCTATGAGCTGAGATGAATGATACAATACACGTCAGTATTCACCTAAAAATGGGGAAGACAACTCTTTGAATGTCTGCAAAATAGTGTTCTCCTTCAGATAAATCCCGTATCATCATAGCCTGAGTGCTGTCAAAAGCCATTGAGAATTTTGCTCTGAGACCCATAAAGCCATTCTTTCTCTTTTAAATCATTTCTTAACTCTTTTATGTAATGAATATGGAATACATTAAAAATACTAGACTTGTATTTAGCTCTCTTTTAAATCTATATATTCTACTCTAAGCATTCTATCCACATTTTTTGTTCAACAACTAGACATGTTCTAGTATATTCCTTTGGAAAACTAACTGTATTTGCATAGTGAACATATTTGTTCATTAAGTAAATGTAACACTTTTGGCTGGCCTTTCTTGGACAATTTTTTTTTTAAATGTTTCTTCCCTAAGTTTCTACTGCCTTTACTAGGTTAAAACAACAATTTTCTGCTGTCAAGCCTTTGAATACATATATATTTTAATCATGTAATTTTCCAGTTACACTATGACTTTTCTGAAACAGAAAGGAACAGAAACTGTACAACAGCTAGATTGTGCAAACGCAAAGTTAACTGGGCACATGTCCAATTATAAATCAAAGCCAAAACAAGGGGAATTTTGAAGAGGAAAGAATGCATGGGTCAAAGTGGAAAAAAGTCTCAGTCATGAGAAAATATTTTCTAGTTAAACTAAAATAGTTTTGATATTAAAATGATAATGAGGGCAAAACCCAGAAAGAATGAAAGCTGGTTTAATCAAGCAAGAAAACACAGAGTATTTCCCCTATTTCCTTCAGTGCTGATCAGTGAGGTAAAGATTGACTTTTCTGTAGACTGGGTCAAGGAGGGGGAATGAGAAAAGGGATGCTATTATTTGCTTTGCTTGCTAATATTAAATTATTGATTTACCAACTACAGCAGAAGCACTGCAGAAGAGCAATGTCTGCACGGCAGAATATATAGAAAAATAAGAAGTGAAGCTTTTTTGCTAAACCAGGAAATCAGTGAAATCTTTTTAATCACTGCTTCTCCTTTTTTGACAGGCCTGAGATGTATATCAGAAAATTCTCTTTCTGCTAATGAGTTGAACTATTCTGACAGTGACCCAGATCAGCATCCTCAAGGAGCATTAAGCAAACGGAGGTTTCAAAGCTGAGATGCATTCCTTTCTTGTCTTGTTACTGCCTCTTATTCTCTCTGTATCCATCCCGATAAGCATCAAACTGCAATTTGACAGCATTAGATACGGTAACTGGCTGGGCTGGCATACTCTGAAACCAGCACAGCCCTTTTGGCAAAACATTTTAGTACAAGCTGCCTGGAAGGTCCACTTCCAAAGCTGAGTCACTTCCCTGCTGCAGCATGCCAGACACAGCACTTGGGGAAAAAAACCCTAAGAATCTGATTTTGCATGTATCAGACAGAAAAAAGATGAGCCATTTGAACATCCCTGTGTTTGTCCAGCTATTTGGTTTAGTTTGACAGGCAAACACAAGCTCAGATCCTAATAGCTCAGTGGGACTCTGAGAGCATTTCCTTAGCATATGGTGGTGGAACAAAAGCTAGGAGACAATACCACCGCTGTGCTCTGCTTTATTGTTAGGGAGCACCCGAGCTCCCTCAACTTCTGAAAACAGAAATGGTCCAAAATGTTTGCTGGTAAAATGCTACTAGCTTCTGAAAATAGCTAGATTTTGAAAAGGGGCCTTTTTCTCATTAAAAATGGATACACTTTAAGATAAGGACAATCAATATCAAGTACTTTGTTTCTGAACAAAAAAGAAAACTGCATCTGGGCAAAAAGAGCTAAAAAGCCAGTCAAGCAGTACAGTGAGTAGCAAAACGGTTACTTGGATTAAGTGCCTATGTAAAAGCATATTAAGAATGCAGTCAAGGGAACTTCAAGTAGAAAGAAAAATGCTTTTTTCAACACTTTGCTCAGAGCTAGTATAGATGGGTGCGCGAAAACCCCATCAGAGCAAAAAATAGAATGTGAGGCATCGAAACAGAACTTTTTAGCCGAAAATAATAGGAAGTTGTGCTTACCTTAAAGTTGTGTGCTTTTTCATAGTTGAAGTGGTTGTCGTTTTGAGTTAAGGCTGCTCTTCTGACCAAGGAGGTGATCTGTGAATAGGCAAAGAGTTTCAGAGGTTGCCACAAAAGTGCCCCCTTGACTCCCACCTTCACCCCCAGGGCCATGGCCAGGAGCTCTTGGCGCTTCCTTCCTCGCTTCGACTTGTGAACAACGGCACAGTTTTTCTCATTTTCCAGCCACAGATCCTCCGAGAACATAGCGCTGGGATCCCAAATCTTTTCCCTGTCTTCCTCGGCGCCCGGGAGCCCGACTGTAGTCAGTACGGCACAGTTTGTCCAACTGCTTCTGATGTTAGACAGCAGATTTGAAGCAGCTGCAGCCCATTCTGCCGAGACCTCTGGCATGTGACTTGAATGGGCCGTCTTGTGGGACGGAAGGAGCTTCTGCATCTGAATAAGTAACGGCCTGTGCCGTGCGATTTCTTAAGGCAGATGTGTGCCTCGAACAATAGCCTGAATTCATACACTGAGCAACCTTCCCCCCCACCTCCCGGAGCAGTGGTCTCCAGCTAGGTGCTGCCAAAATACCAGCCAGGGCAGGGGGACGGCGTTACAGCTTCACGCCCAAACGCATTTCCAGGGACAGATCACTTCAACTCTGCAGCACGTTAAAAATGAGCAAACAAACAAAAAGCCCCAGGAAAGCCCACACAACTGAATCTGATGCTGCATCCAATTACACTCAGACTCAGAGACTTATCAGCCAGCAGTCTGCATGCCAGCAGATTAAGCCCTTAAAACCACGATGATTGTTTAATCTTACAGGGCTAAAAAATCTCTTTTTTTTTTTTTTTCTCCCCATATCCTGTGCAAGGGGAAAAATCCAGCAGCCCTCCAAGCATTAACAGCACTTTTATGCCATGTTTTAAACCACAGCATTTTGTCAGTGTGCGCTTGGTAGCACAGAGCTAGCTCACTGCCAGGGAAAGTTGAAAGCCCAGCTGGGAGGAGGCAGGTAGGAAGCCCCCGAGCCCCGTGCGGCACCTGAGCGAAGGTGGGGGAGCTTCACACAGATGTAGGAAGCCCATGTGTTTGCAGAATAGGGTCCACAAGGCAGCAAGAGCAGTCGTCCTTCACTCCAGTTACATGCATCTATAGATTCGGGGGAGGGAAGTGATTTCTAGTGAAAGCCCAGGGACAGGAGGGATCTGGACCCTGACCAGTCTGTGCTGCAGCTTGCAGCATTACTTTGGGCACCTGATTCTTTATGGGCAGGTATTTCCCCATCCCAGGACACAGAAAATGTGTGGCACTGAGCATCCCCTGGGAAGCACGTTCAGTGCCCCCTCCCCACCAGCTTCCCTCCTTCCAGCTCCCTTCCCCTGCTCCCTTAGTGAGTATGCCCATTCTCCACCCATAAGAGGAGGATAGGAGTTACCAGCAGAGCACCGGGAGATTTAATTCTTTAAGGTGTGTCTAATGCTCGAGATGCTGTGACAGAGCAAACCAGGGGGTTAACCAGCGGTACTGGGAAAAACTGCCTCTTTGAACTAGAGACACTAAAGACCACATCAGCCTTTTATAGTCTGCCCCACTCCAACTGACCCAGAAAATACGTGAAATTTAAGTATTTAATTCACTTATGTTAACTTGTGAAGTTGAACTTGCCTCTATTTTTTTTCAGTCTGCTTTTACCCCAGGCTGAAACATCAGAAGGTTCATCTAATTCACTTACTAAAACCTCCACCATATAGACTGCCTGCTCTTAGTAAAAGCGATGCTCTCCTGATTTGAAAGCCCGTGGGGACAGATGGTCAGCCATCAGTAACATCAGGCTGTGCAATTTCGGATAGTGCCCTACTTAGGGTTTTCAAGAAGTTGTGCAACCTGCAAAATCAGCTTCTCAGTTCTAAAACGATGCACTTACTTCTATGTATAGCATACTTAATTCCTTTATCTCCAGGTAACTCACAGCACCTCTTTTTACGTCCTCCCATACTCCAAAGCTTCTGCTCTCTGGTAGGGAGGACTTCCATGCAAGCCCACTGCTCCCCAAGCAGGTGCTCCCCACCCGGCCTTTCCCCAAAGCTCGGCACTGGTGACAACTGGCTGTGATGTATGTATGAACATTGCTCTGCCTGGAGGAAATCCCTGCTGCTCTTCCCGCTAGTGAGTCCCGATTTCTTCTAGCTCAGGACCTTTATCTGCTTTCCAGCAGATAAAGACAGACTATAGCTCCCCAGCTCGCTCTCCATGTACTCCAAGAGATGAGGAACACTGGTTTTAGGGACATCTCTGACCCCATCAGCGGCAATGGCTTCGGTTTGAGCCCGCACGGTGGAAACTTTGGAGCAGCTTGAAGTTCTTATCACATTCCAGTTTCTTTCCTCAGTACCATTTTAAATGTATTTACATTTATCTGGAACAAAACCCCCAAACTAGCTATGAGCTGTTAGACACCTCTGAAGCTACAGCATCTAAATCCCCATATACACATAAGCTACTTCTCTCTGACTTCCAGCATAACAGATCCAAAGTCAGAGAGTGGTCAGTTTCTTAATAATGCCCTAATATTTGCATTTATGTCACTAGACTGATAAAAATCCCATTATATAACTAATATTTTTTACATAACACGGCAGATTTGATACTCAAGCTACAGGCTTATGATGCTACGTCTTGGAATTTCTATTCATTAAACTATTTTTGGAACATCAGTGTCATCCTGGGATCAGACATACAGTACTATATTTAATGGAAACTCTGAGTGTTCACACAGAAGCATTAAACTTAATAGACTTGGAGGCGGACAACTCAACCAAACCAGTTCATATGACTAAGGCAGATCAGTATTTATTGTTTATCATATATGAAATTTTATTTATCCCCTACGCTGCCTTTTCTGCCTTGCTTGGGCCCTGTTTAGACAGTTGTTTAATGGGATCCCTTGCAAACACAGGATGTGTACAGAAGGCCAACACTGAGTGTGTCCTCTTAAGAAGCTTAATCATACAAAGCCCTGCGAGGTTTGGTGTCTAAAATGGTGCTGTAAAACTGAGGTGAGCTGGACCACATATATAACCCCTTCCCTCTCTAAATATAATGCAAACAGCAGCAGTGACAAATTCTCAGCAGCAACCAGTTCCAACGTACTGATACCACAGGCCAACCCCAGTGCTCTCTTTTACCCATCTTCTTTTTCTTAATGCAAAATTTACTGCACACGGTGTCAACTCATTTAAAGAGCATCTCTTGATCAAGTTAGCAAGTTAGCCTGCAGCTAAGGAGGAGAACGCCAGTGGCTAAAAATATTATTGCTGGTTGTCACCGAATATCTAAGCTAGTGAAGGCTGGAAAGCAAATATGGGTTGTCTGCGTTTTCAGACCGAAGGATTTCTGCATAACATATGATTTTAGTTTACTAGTCTCTCCGTAAAACACATGTACTGTATAGCAAATCGGGCATTTACAGCAAAATAAATGTCACTGAACCAGCATAATAAAATTAAAAAGGCGGGGGGAAGAGGGAGGACTCGGCTGTTGCGCCATTTCCAGCATGCCTTTGCAGATCGAGCTGAACCACACCATTGTCTCTCCCCGCAAACACTGGCATCTTGTTTGCTAACAAAGGCCTCAGGGATAGGAAAGAACAAATTTTAGCATGAAAAGCTTTTGGTTTTGTACATGTGGCATGATTTCTGTTGCAGTCGTGTGGGCAGCGCTGAGGACTCGCGGGAAGCAAGCGGCGGGGGAATTTCGCATGCCGCCCGGC